CTATTTTTGTTATTAAGTGTCTCTCTTTAATTGTTGTGCAAGTCTTTGTTGCATAACATCTCTTTTTACTTGCCTCATTAGTAATTTAACACCTCTTGTTAGTATTTTTACATCTTTTTTTACTTTGCATTTGTTTTGGAGAGGAAGAGACCTCTGCAACAAAAAATTTGCTCTCAACAAAAAAACAATCAGCACTGAAGGAATCCTAATCGGGAGTTCACACTTGCCACATGAGAAAAGTTAAGCTATTTACAATCTGCAATCTTCGCCACTGGATGCCACTAAATCCGGTACACCGTTCCTTTAAAAACTGAAATTGAGAGAGAAATTAATTAATTTTAATAATAATAATTATATTAATTATTAATTAGCAAGAGGGTTGCCGGTTCAATCCCGGGTGTGGGAGCCCTTGTGTGCGGAGTATGCATGTTCTCCCCGTGTCAGTGTGGGTTCTCTCCGGGCACTCCGGCTTCCTCCCACAGTCCAAAGACATTCACATGCAGGTTGGGGACTCGGTTAATTGATAACTCTAAATTGTCCTTAGGTGTGAATGTGAGCATGACTGGTTGTCTGTCTCTATGTGTCAGCCCTGCGATAGTCTGGTGACCTGTCCAGGGTGAACCCTGCCTCTCGCCCGATGTCAGCTGGGATAGGCTCCAGCCCCCCCGCAACCCTCAAGAGGATGAAGCGGTTAGAAGATGAATGAATGAATGAATGAAATTAATTGATTAAATTATTAATAATAACAATTAACCAAAGTAACAATACTTTTTTAAATAATGAATATTGGAAGTGAATTGATATATTTCATAGTAGAGCTTGGCTTGTGAGTGAAAAACAAGCATTTATTGTGATTTTTAGTTTAATTCAATCTATTTTAATGTTTACTGAATGCAATGTAGAAGTGAAGCAAATCTTAGTAAATTTACAGTGTGTTATTAATAAATGACACATATTCAATCTCAAAACTAAGCAAACTGATTGTGATTTGTCTGTGGGATCTGAATTCAACATTTCAGTTGGTAAAATTTAATTGGATGATGTAAAAACATTGTACTTTATCTTCTGAATTCATTATTTAAACCCCATTAAGCTCTTAAAAATTGCAGGTTGGTGGTTAAAATCATAAAGAATTAACACTTCATTTTAGGGTAACTGGTTAAACCCTGAACCTAGCAGATTCATAGTCAGTTATTGGGGGTAATCTCGTCTTTGCATTCCCAGACTCTCTCCAGTACCAGGCCCCACTGCTTCTCGACCAGGCTTTACAGTCCTTAAAGGTGGAGAAGCATCCCTTCACCTTCATTTCACACAAGCAAATGGGCCCACCATTTCTGGTGAGGACATGGTAAAATGGTTCCACCTACTGGCAAGACAGAGAAGACGCAGAGGGAAAAAAGCTTGCAGTATTGATGCAGCTTTCAATAGAGTGCAGAAGGCACCTTAGTACAACAATGTCTACACAGAGTTCATCTACCTTTTCAAAATTGTGAAAAGAAGGTGCATTTTCTGCTACTTTGTACTTAAACTCCATTACATTTAAGAGGGAAATATTGCACTTTTACTCCACATTTATCTGACAACTTTAGTTGCTAGTTATCAGTGTTGGAGAGTAACCAGTTACATGTAATTCAATTACAAAATAAATGTAATTGTAGTCAGTTAGTTACTGAGAAAAAAGAATGTAATTCAATTATGGTTATCTATAAAAATGTTGGTGACTACAACACTACTACTAAGTGTTTACATTTGTTTGTGTTTGTGTTTACATATATTTTTTAGGTAAAAACATTTAAATGAGGAATATAATACATGTTGCAGTATGTTGATTTGCATCTTTTTGCAGAAATGCCCCTTTTTGTCATAGCTACTTCTAGATGTTTCTCAGCTTTGAAACACAA